TTTCTTTTGTAACTTTCCTTTTTCTAAGAACTTGACAATCACACCAGTTTTGGTCTTGTCTTCATATATTTGACAAATTCTTTCCAAGTGAGTGATCATGCTTTTAGTCAATCCTTTCGTGTCCACAGAAAGCTTCTTAAGGCAAAGGTTCATTTCTCCAGGAGTCTTGTTTACCTGGAAAACATTAGAAGAGCAGGATTTGGAGGGCTGGAAATATTGCCAAACCCAGCTTTTCTTGTGGGTTCTGGTGCTTTCAGCCTTGACAGGTGCCTTCACAGACTCAATGTTGGAGCCGGAGTCAACATCCATCGGTTCTTGTTCTTCAGCGCCACGTTTTGGTGGCATTCTTGGATCAGAATGTGTTGATGGTAGAGCAACTCTCATCCCTGAGCTCCCAGGTCAGCTTTTCATCCATTATCCTTTGGGACCCAATTTTGGCACCGGATATGCTGGGTTGGGTCTTGGAAATGCAGTACCCCAACCCGGGAGGCCGGATAGGAATCTTATGCCATACAGCCAATGGTGGGACATCTACGCTAACCGTAGCATTAGCATGGCGTAGCACAGCAAAAAGGTGCTACATTTTAGCGTAGCGTTAGCCAAAAATCCACATTTCTGCGCTAACGCTACAGGCAAAGGGCACAAGAGTGTGTTAGCACATAAAGTTGGAATTGCGCTAACGCTACGCGCTCAGGACACAAAAAGGTGCCCGCCAAGGCGTGCTACAGCACTTTTTAGCGTTTTTTTTGCCTTTTTTGCTACTAAAAGCGCTGTAGCGCAGCGTAACACAGCGTAGCGGCTGTAGTGGTACGCTAACACTACCCAGAAAAAAGCCACCTGTTAGCGGCGCTACAGTGTAGTGTAGCGTAGCAGCAGTAGTGGCACACTAACACTACAGAAAAAAGGGCCCCTTTTAGCGCTGCTACGCTAATGCTAAGTGGCCCTTTAGCGTAGTGTAGTGTAGTGGCCCACCGTTGATACAGCTGGAGACAGATGGCAGGTGCCAATTACATGTCAATACTATAAAGTAGGCTGGTTTGGCCAGTTCATTCCCAGGCTCCTGTTGTAGGTGTACACCAATTGGTCCATAGCCAAATCTTTGGGGTTTTCAATCTTTGAATCAACCGCTGGAGGTCATATCCAGGGGGATATGAGTGGTGAGGATGGCAAAAGGTGCACAAGATGCAAATTGTTGCCCTCATATTTTTTTATCATATTTTATGCTTGTTGGTTCTTCTAGGAGAGCATAAATAGTTCCAAAAAGCCACTATTTTTGCTGGCCTGTATTTCTCTCCTGCGCCAGCGGAGCAACTTCCCACCCAGGACTCTCTGTGAGAAAGATACCCTTGTGGGCTGCCCTTTGGTCTCTCACTCGCGAGGGGAGTGATAATCACACTTCATCCCCTTTTGCGCACACACTCCAACACTCCCTCAGAAAGGGAGTCTGGGACCGCACACCAACCCTCTGAGCGGGCATTCCCCCAGCAGCAATTGGCGTGCAAGGCTGCACACCAAGCTATACTCCCCTTCTGAGGGGAGTGGGGGAGTTTGCATGTGTATACTTTATACACTATGTACATATTCCCTGGCATAGGAACCGGTCCTGGGTCCTATGGGATAGCCCAGGGCTTGAGGCCGTTGAAAAAAAAAGAACCGGGGCTCCCAGCCCAAAAGACTGTACAGTCTTAAGGCCAAGAGGAATTCCTCTTGGCCTTGAGACCTGTACAGCCTCGGCAGAGGTTTTTGTACACCTCGTCAGGAGGGATTACCCCAGGCAAGATGGGTTGTACACCCTCTCATTGGGAGGGATTCCTGCCAACAAGATGGGCTTTAAACCATCTCGTTGGCAGGGATTCATCCTGGCAAGATGGGCTGTAAACCATCTCATCAGGAGGGGTTCCTCCCAGCAAGAATGATTTGGAGACTGAACAATACAAATACAAACTCTACAATTTCCAAGCCAAATCTCCATAATCAGTAGTGCTAGCTGATTGAGCCGGATCAGGTATAAGAGGTCTAGGATGTTGAGCTGATCAGTTTCCTTCTCATCTCATTTCCTTTTTTTCTGCTTTATACATGTCACGTATATTTCACATTCATGTCACACATTTGTAGTATACCTGAGGCAGCACTCGTGGAAGTTCTTCTTTCTTCATCCTTCCACAAACATCAATCACTCACCTGCACCGTGCTTGCTGTCCTCAGGTATAGTAGTCTTTGTTTCTCTTCTCTTGCTTTCTTTCTTCCTTTTCTTTCATTTCCTTTTCTTCTCATATGAAATGAATGATCCTTCCACAAACATCAATCACTCACCTGCACCGTGCTTGCTGTCCTCAGTCCTTGTCTAGCTCATCATAGGAGCGGGTTTAAAGGCGGCACAGAGAGGGGTGACGGTAGCGAAGCCTCTGGAAGGGAAAACCATCCCAGACCAAGAGGTATCCCTCACAGCCTCTGGTCTGTAAACCAACTTTTTGGGAGAGGTTCCTCCTGACGAGTTGTATACAGCTGGTTTGAAGGTCTAAACCCACTTTCCGGGAGGAACCCCTCCCAACAAGTTGGTATACAGAACAGCTCATTGGGAGGAACCACTCTGGTTTACAGACCAGCTCATCGGAAGGGATTCCTTCCAAAGATCTGGTTTAATCAGCTTGTTGGGAGGAACCCCTCCCAACGAGTTGGTATACAGAACAGCTTGTCAGAAGGGATTCCTTCCGACAAGCTGGTTTGAAAACCGGCTCTCCGGTCAAGCCATGTATGGTCTCAAGGCCGGGGAGTTTTTTATTATTATTTTTCTTTTTTTTTTCATCAGCCTCAAGCCCCAGGGCTATCCCATAGGACCCAGGCCTGGGTCCTATGGGATAGCCCAGGGAATATGTACATAATGTATAAAGTATACACATGCAAACTCCCACACTCCCCTCAGAAGGGGAGTATAGGTTGGCTTGCAGCCTTGCACACCAATTGAAATTGGCGTGCGGACCCGCATGCCAACCTGCTGGAGGAATGCCTGCGCAGAGGGTTGGTGTGCGGGTCCGCACACCAATTTTGATTGGTGTGCAGTCCCACACTCCCTTTCTGAAGGGAGTGTTGGAGTGTGTGTTTGAAGGGGGAGGAAGTGTGATTATCACTCCACCACTTGTGAGGGCCTGTTGTTAGGCTTGACCTATTAGGCCAGTTCACATAGCTGCTTGTTTGCAAATAAAAATTTGGCGACAAGCAACACTTAACAACAGCCTGCTTCAAGTTTTGGTGAATTCCCATGCAAAACATATGTTGGTATGGTGAATCCTGTATGTAGTTCTCAATGCTTGTACATAGTTATGCTTATATCAAGCTATCCACTGCTACTGAACACTGGACTCCCTCTCAGCACTTTCTCCTCACTGAATAAATAAATAAGTTTCTCATCGTCAAGTACCACACGTGAGTCTTGACTTCAGTTGCATTTTTGGTCCCTATGCCCCTCAACAACATAAGCAAGCAGTTAAATCAAAAAGAAGTGCAACTTTTCAGACTTGTCAATAAAAACACCCTATGTCAACTGGGCTGTTTTATCTCTGGAATTTCAAAGAGCTGCTTAAAACTTTTCAAGATCTGCAAGGAATTCTGGAGTCCTTGAAGGCATTTTTTTCTTGCCAGAGGACCCCAGAGAGCTGGGTTGGTAATCAATTGCCAACCATACATGTTCTGGAAAGCTGATACAAAACCAGCTTCCTTGAAATTCTCAGTGATCTGGGAGGAACATCACCACATTTCTATAAACCTCATGGAAGAAGAAAGATGACAGGGTATGCACAAGGCTTTCCAAGTGTGTTACACAAGTGCATGCACCAAAATTTGCCTTTTTACCAATTCCCTAATATTCACATAGCAAATTTCTGCCACCTAGGAAATATTTTGGTTTGCAACACATGATTGAGTCAAAAATGGTCTAGATTACAAGGAAAAATGGTAGTTGTGCTATGAAAAAGATGGTGAAAATACATTGAGTTTTGAAGAATACAGTTTATCTTTCATTAAAAAACATATTTATCATGAGTGAATGAATCTACAAAGAGAAATTTTGGATTCTGAAAGGTTTTATTCTGTTTGCTCCACTGATAACAAATGAAAGTCGGGTGCAGGTTGCCCAGCTTCTCCCCGAATAAGGATGGTGTTTTCATTCCCAGGCTATCAAATTAATCAAATTGGCTGGTCATCAGATTGGAGGTACAAAAATGTGTGTGTATCATTTTTTTCAAGACTCACTTTTAGTGGAAGTGACACAAGAAATCCTTCAGCCATATCATCCCAAGTCTGTGAAATTACAGATTTCAAAGTACAAATCCCATGGAAAAAATCAGTCTCTTAAGTCAGATGATAAGGAAAATTTTTGTTGTGAAAGGTGAATCACTGACCAGTCCAGTGATAGGCATATCAGCATAAAATGGGCTTTCATTGTTCCCATTTATAACAATGGAAGTGTGCTTGAAGTTCAATTTTGAATCATCCATATTTCCTGGTGAAAGCTCAGCATTGATGTAAGCAAATTTGACTAGAGTCCAACCACTTTTTGATCCAGGAACATTATTCCAGCGCAATGCACTTTTCCCATCAGCCTGGAGATTTGATACCACTTTAACCCCACGGGAAGTTGTTCTAATTTGTGCTGAACCAATTATCTCAGCTTGTTCAGCTGGGAATGTTATGAATTTCTTTTCAGGAGCTGGCTTAGTTTCAGTCAGCTTTAGGAACAAGCTTCCATGCGCCTCAACTTTGCTGGTATAACTAAATCATTTCATACCACAAATTTCAATACAAAGTTCAACCAATATGTGAAACTTAAATATCAAACCAAAAAGGACTTACACTTCATTTATTACCCCTAGGTCCTTTCCAGTCATTACATCAAAGATATGTGCAGATGAAAACCCCAAATCATCAAGCCTGATATTTTTGGTTGTGGCATCATTTGACCAGCTTATAATTACTGTGATTGAATTGATATATGCAGGTGAGTTTCAAATTCCTGCCAAAAAATAATAATAGGTGGAAGCTTGATTTTCTTACCTGCAACTGTGTTTCCATCCTTCAAAGGCCCACTCCATACATCCATATCAGCAGGATATTGGTGTTTTAAGGTTATGGTTTGGCCTAGATCATCTTGCTGTGTAGAAATTGTAAATTTGTGAACATTCTGTATATAATGATAGCCATGGATTCTCACATCAATTCATCAGGGTAAAATCATTGCTCACATTTATAGCAATTGCCCCTGGATTTTGCAAAGTATCAATTTCAGCTTGTCCAAGACGGGAGATGTCGCTTGAGAATATGAGGGGAGATCTACAAAGTGTGAAGAGAATTTTTAAATTTCTGATGGTGAAATAAGAAGAAGTAAAAGGAAAAAGAAGAATGAACTAACTTTGCCGCTGCCCAAAATGAAAATTGAGTTATCTTCTCAACCATTGATAGTTTGTTATCACCCACTTGGAGCCATCCAAGGTCATTGTATGGGCCCTGATTCTGTAGGGAATATGGGTAAAGTGCATTGATTGTCCGGATGCTGTTTAGAAATAGAAAAGCAAATTCAGCTGGAATTAAAACAATGTAAATAGAAATCTCATTTGTAATCTCACAAAGAATTCCAGCTGTCAACAGTATCATCTGCTATTCTCTGACTGTTGACTTCAGTCTTGGTGGCTTTTGGTGAAGCACCCCACTGTCCAGTGCTATTTTTACCCAACCTGGTTAGAAAAATAAGCCAATGGTGATGATCAATGACAATTCAACTCACGCATAAAACAGTTTACTCTGAAAAGCATGGCGGCTTATTATGTTTTCCATTTCAATATAGCGTCCCTGTTCTCTAACAAATCATCAGCTTTGGATAATATTAAAATCCAGAAAGGGTAATAGGCTTGGACATACATTCAATTCTGTGGCCTGGTCAATGTTTTGCAATCTTGCTGGTGATGCCAAGTCACAACTGCAGTATTGAGTGATGTGCATAAATTTCAGCCTGAGTATCAAGTTTTTAATTTTTTCTGAAATATATCAGAACTCACGGTCTGTGTGAAAGATAGGCAGCACCCCGAACATTGACCAAATAGGTTAAATAATCATCAGCATTGCTCAAAGGATCCACACCAGATCCCTCATCGTTGGTCCTGGGGCATAATTGTTTTCTGTATGGTTTGTTTGTATAAACACCGTTAAATTCCTTTCCATCCACACTTTTTCTTCAGAAATCAAGACTGTTGGAAAATGAGAACTGACCCTCCCCATGTGCCAAGACCAAGACCCAGTCCTTTTGGGTTCAAATTTGCAGCAAGAGTATCAGGCTTATCTGGCTTTTGTAGGCTCCAGTGGGCTTTTTTCCAAGGCTTTTTATTGATTCATGCAGTAATTGATCATTGGCGTCAGGATTTATGTTTCAATCATTGTTTGAAAATACTATGACCACTTACTCTATATTCTATCTTGTAATCCTCCTTTATCTTCAGATCTCTTTCCCATCCACATTCAACTATAAATGTTTTGTATCCTGCTTTAATGAATCCCTTTTGATCCATTAAGTCTGCATGCCACAACAGATCCTTACGATTTACGTTAGCCTCACAACCCAAAGGGTAGAAAGAGTTCCACCCCATTGTAGCTAATGTAAAGAGGACGTTTTTAGTGTCAGAATTTTTTTGGATTATGTGTCATGTACACTCACGTTTAGGCCTTGGTGCTGGAGGACCATCACGAGCTACTAGTTTGGTTGGGGTTTGATTGGTATATGCAATATTTAAGCTAGCAAAGATTGCAACACCAATCCATTGCAATCTGAAAAATTCCTGATACATATTTGGCCGAAAGACAGGATATGTACCAAGAAGTGAACCTGCGATTTGAAAATTTGTGTGGCGCTTGGAATTCCCAATTGCCGTTTGTAAAGGTACTTGTTCAGCTGATCTATAGAAACGAATAGATCAGGACCAGGTATCCCTAGTCAACGCTTGTGCCTTGGAATGGCTACTATATAGTTGTTAATCGGAGAGGATGGATAATAAAGAAGTATGGAAATTGTCTATGTAGGATTGTGGAAATGAACGTTTTGCAACGCGATGTTGTTAATAACAAACAGTGGAAATGTCAGTGAGATATCTAAGTAAATTGTCCGAAATCAATATGGTTGTGAGGAGGCTCCTGACAGCCAAGGTTTGTAAAACCGATTTAAGAAACAAGGAAAGATGATCAGAAAGAAAGTGAAATGTCCGATGAACGTGGCGGGCAAGAAATCCGCGATGGAGATGAGAAGGAAACAAAGTGGAGGTAAAAAAAGCAAGCGCGAATCTGGAAGCAAGCAGACAAACCTACGATAGAAATACTTGATGGAACACTGGAAGCTCTCCGCATCACTCGGTATCCCAGCTGACTGCAGTTGCTTGAGTCTCGTTGCGATTATCAAAGTGCCCACAAAAGGAGTGATTGGAACTTGGGGTAGGCCTCTCAAAAGGAGATGTTTGATCCGATGTTAGTGACCAAACATCGCACTTCGGTCGACCTGGTCTCCGAGGTCGCATTGCACCTTTGAGCGGGTGGAAAGAACCAAGTCTCAGCTTGCCTGTGTAGGGGGGCGTTACGACCTTGGCGTATGCTGATGCAGGCTGTTGGTGTGCTTGGTGACACGTCGTACGCCGGATGGCTTGTTATTCTCGCCGGTTCAGCAGCGTGAATCGTGTTGATGGGGTCGCCATACATCTGGTTCTAATTGCTTGAACTCACTTGCGCATTTTAGTTCACTTGATCTTCATCAGCAAGCCTACTTTGCAGCTCGCTTGTGACAAAGTCCAGGGTTGATGTTGGCACTTCTGCCCCGCAAATAGGTCATCTGAGGTTTCTGAGAGAGCAACTTTTAGCAGAAGTCAGCAAAGCTAGCATCCTGGTCAGCTGCGGTTCTTTATCCTCACATAGCGGGCCAGACTCAAAATATACTTTAGGTCTGGGTCCTCATACTTGAGAAGAAACCATTGGGTCTACTGAAGCATTACAACACACCATCACAAGACATCGGACACGATTTTCTTGACTAGGCAGGCAAGACTGTTTTCGTATCGCTTTTCGAGCTTACAAACAGATTCTCATCCATCATATTCCTTCGATCTGAACAGGGTCGCTTGGCGACTTTCTTCAGCAAAGGCCCAGCGGATTCCAGATAGGCTCTGGTCGAGTTGTTCTGGAACAAGGACAAGCTCCCCATGTGTGCCGCGGAGGATACTTCGTCTGTCAAGAAGATTCCAATGGAATATTTAGCAAGTGGTAAGATTCACATTCTGGTTGGACTTCAACTCGATATTTAATCTTCAGCAACTGTGTTTTCTTTTGTTTGCTTTGATTGACAAATAAGTAATTAGAAAGACGTGAGAGCTCTTTGGTGAAGGAGATGTCTATATACAGCAATACCCCCCCGCTCCAAAAAAAAAGCAAACTGGGGCTGAGATGTACAAGGTGTTTGATAAGATTACACATAAGTCTTTCTAAATAAGTAAATAAACACTGTTCCATCTACACACTAGCACTTTACAGGGAGGGTAATACACCAGGCAATCTGAAAAAGCTAAGCCTAAATAGTTGTGTGACTTGATAAGGAACCATGATAGACCGGAAGGTATAAATAATGAGGGATAGATCAAGGTGTGCTCTGTGATCTTGGCAATCTTTGATGAAAGTATGAAAAGGGCTCCGGTCAGGTTGCTGGTCTGAGTGCTTTAAGGCGTTGAGCTAATGCGTCTTCCGGTGCTTCTTGATTGTCCACCGGTTCCTGTTCAGCAACACCGACCGAAGACTTGGGCACTTCACCCAATCCATGCTTGATCTCTAATCCGGCTTTGTCAGCTACTTTTTGCATCAGTAAATGCACTTGGTCTTGTGGCATCGAGGACGCTGTTGTTTGACTGATTGCAGATTCCATACAACCCACCTGGGCATCCATATCTTCAAATTGAGATTCAAATTTATCCATCACCATCCCAATCTGTACCCACACAAAAAATACATCAAACTTATCAACTTATTGTGTTTGTAAGAAAGCTTCGATCCGATCTTGTTTTGAAATTTTTGTAATCCTGGATAAGTATGCATTTAGCTTTTTTTTTGTCTTTTATTCTGCCCAAAACTCTGAGTGTCAGGGAACCTTCACAACAAAGTTCATGCATTCTCATGCATAAACTTTGGTGTCTTTCAACCATCATCTTCTGGACCTAATTCAAATTGTGAAGCCCAATGTGATTACATGTTCCCAACCTCACTTCATTCCTTTGTTGTCTAGCATTTGGTCACCTGAATTTTTACACGCCTAAACCTCCCTCCCGCTCACGGTTTCTCTACCAATCAACAACAACAATGCCTTATGTTTTCTACCCTCCCGGTGTGGTGTGCTGTGCCTGTTCCAATGCCAAAAGCGTACAGAATAGGTGATAGTGACACACACTTATCATTCATTACAAGAGGAGGAACATTCATTAAGTAGGACATACAACATCAGGATACAGTATACATATGTAGGTGTGGTGTGTGCGTGGGTAGGTTATGTAATATGGGTTTATGTATTGTGTAATCAGTGGAAAAGAAAATAAGACAGTTGATGAGGAGGGGAGAAGGAAGGTAGGCAGAGAGGCATGGACCCTGAAGAATGAACAAGGAAGGAAGTAAGCAAGTGTTTCATCTGATGTTTCATCTGTTGCTTCATCTGTTGAAATGAAACACAGAACATTTGGAATGTGGATTTGGTTTCCAAGTCACAGATCTCATAAGACTGTATACTGTACTGGATTACTGCTTTGGAAGGTTTCAGCACATGCTACATGGCTTGGTTTCATAGCAACCAATGACATCATGCTGTGCAAGTGTGTGTCACCTGCAGCAAAAATAACTCACAAGGAGTCTCCTGCAGCAGAAATCCCTCACTCTTCAATATAAAAAGAGGGCCTCTCTCCACCAGGATTCTCTTTTCCCCCATCAGCCTACAGGAGTATAAAGATGGCCCCACGGGACCCAGGTACCGGATGCTTCTTTAGCCAAGAAATGGCACCAGGTACCGCGCCCGCTGGCATATGGCGGGAACCGGCGGTACTCTGGGCGGTTACCCCCGGAACTTTGTGTCCAAAACCCGCAAACAGTCATAAAGTCTTGAGGCCGGGAGGGGTTCCTCCCGGCCTTGAGACCTTACATGGATCAACAGGCAAACCGGTTTTCAAACCAGCTTGTCATCTTGTCGGGAGGGGTTCCTCCCGACAAGCTGGTTTAGACCTTCAAACCAGCTGTATACAACTCGTCAGGAGGAACCCCTCCTGACAAGCTGGTTTAATCAACTTGTCGGGAGGGGTTCCTCCTGACGAGTCGATTTACAGACCAGCTTGTCAGAAGGGATTCCTTCCGACAAGCTGGTTTTAAAACCGGCTTGCAGGGAGGAGCCCTTCCCAACAAGCTGGGATCGAGCCGGCTGGTGTGCAGGACAGGTGTCCTGCACACTTTTTCTTTCTTTTTTTCTGTTGTGCAGACATGCACACCTCTGGGGGGCTTGAGGCGGTACCCGGGAGGATACCCGGGTACCGGTGCTGTTTTTGGCCAAAAACAGACACCAAGTACCGCACCCGGGGCCTGTTGGCGGGTACCGGAGGAATGGTGGCGGTACCCGCCAATGGGTCCCGGGTACCGCCCAACAGGTACTGCAAGGCCATCTTTACAGGAGTAAGTTGAACACAATTAGTTAGTAGTGATTGTCAGAGAATTAGTCAAGTAAAGTCAGAGATTTATAAGTAGTAGAACCAGAACCATTGAACCATAACAAAGTGAACTTAAGTAGTACATTAACAATTAACAAATAAAAAGTAGTAGTAGTATTAGCATTGGAGCTCTAGTTTTTGATTCAAGTGCCTTAGCAAGAAATTGTTTGAGGAAGAGATCTTTAACAAACTCTATAGCAACTCATCTGTTTTGTGCTTAAGACATCAGCACCACAGTTTCCATTATTAACCTGAAGTTGTAACAGATTCATTAGTAGATTGATACGTGATCTAGGTCTGATAGAGATTACTTTGCAAAAGTAAGATCTATCTTGGAATCAGCCATACATTATTAAATATTGATTACAAGACTCTTAGTTATTTGTTTAGTACAATTAGAGGGTCAGGTCTTTCAAACCACCCGTAAGTTGTAAGAGCCTTTCAACCTATTTGCAATTTATTTCCCCCTCAAGGGATCTTTTGATAAACATATACTTTACCGTGTCTATCCGTCCCAGGAGTCCTACACCGTAGCGATCTGGAGCTCTTTTCTCCCAACCAGACTTCCTTCTGGGAAGCGAGGAAGGAGGAACAGGAACAGACGGGATTGATGGAGAAGGAGGGAAAGGCAGAGGTGGGAGGGAAATGGGTACCACATTGTCAGTTGGCAGTGAATTAGACAGACCAGAGGGGACTGAGGAGATCGGAGGGTTATCAGGCGTCTTGGGTGAGTTGGATGGGGCATGGATGGAGGCTGTCAGGCGACGATCAAACCGATCTTGAAGAGGGATGTCTAGGATGGGTAGATCCAGAGTGGGAATTCTATCTGGCAAAGGAGATGGAGCAGGCGTTTGATTTATGGGAGAAGAGACAATTGGCCACGGGAGCTCCACCATTACCGGAGAGGGAGCAAGTTTCAGGTTGGCACCATAGGGAAAGATCGATTCAAAAAATGTGACATCCGTGGATTGAACTACCTTTTTCCTTTCAAGATTGTAAAGACAATAGCTGTTGCTGTCATCAAGGTAAGAGAGCAGAATTGAGGCACGGCCCTTTACGTTGAGTTTTGTACGATCCGGTTCTGGAAATTTGTAGTAGGCAAGGCATCCAAATGGATGGAGGAGAGACAGATTGACTGATGGATTCCCCAGGATTGAGACTGGAGATTTGAAACCAACGGGTGTCTTACAAGGAAAAGAATCACTGGCATAGAATGCATGTTGAAGAGCGTCTGCCCAGAAGGATTTGGGGACGTGGCGCTGATGAGTGCAGCACAGATCAAGTTGCCAACAGTTCGATTAGTTTGCTCTGCGACACCATTGAGTTGAGGAGAATGTGGGGGACCAGGAATATGATGAATCCCGGATGAAAGGAGGTAGTTTTTGAACTCATTAGACATATACTCCCCCCCCCCCCCGTTGTTGGTGCAAAGAGCTTGAATTTTGAATTTCCCACTCTTCTCAAAGAATGCACAAAAAATCTTGAAGCAGTTGTTGGAATGCTTGTACTGTGTATATGCTTCTACCTAGTTGTATTTAGCTCACATAGTCTCACATCTTGATTTCCTCTACTTACTGAATCTAAACTACATTTATCTTTAGTGATTGCTCCCTTGTCACTAGGTCTGTGAACCTTCAGTCCCACTACCTGAGTTCCCCGCAACAGCAGTTGAAAGAATCACTTTTGAATTTCATAGGAAAAATAGAAATAGATTTTGAACAATTGTCAGCAAATGAGATAAACTATTTATAGCCTTCCCTTGAGGTCACTTCAAAGGATCCTACGTCCGAGTGAATTAGTTGACCAGGGGTTTGAGTCCTATATGGAGATCGAGACTTGAAGGAACGCCGATGCATCTTTGATTGAATGCAGACTTCACATCTTTGAACATCGATTTCATTCCAGACTGTTGGAGTTATTTCTTGAGACTTGAGAAGTAGTTTTAGCGGGTGGAGTCCTATATGAGAGATGTTGGTGATACCCCAAAAGACTATTGTCAACTTTGTTGGACAAAGTGAAAGATGAAGAGTGATAACCCACTGGTTGGGAGGGAAGGTAGAAGAGATTTCCACACCTATAGCCCCTACCCACAAGGAATCCTGAAACTTGAGTGTTGAGTGTCGAGTAGATATCGCAGGAGTTCGGAGTGAAAACAACGGTGAGACCAGTGTCACATAGTCCTGAAATGGAAATGAGGAGTTCCGCAAGATCCGGTGTGGTAAGCCAATCCTGAAAATCCAAGCACCTCAAGACCACAAATCACACAAGAATCACAGGATCAAGACCCCTTAGGAATTCCCCAGGCCCTCAAACCAACCCAAAACAACACTCATGAATTCACCCAAGCACAGACAACATGGATAATAATATTTCCCAGCCAGAAACTCCACACCCTTGAAACTTATTCCCCTCCAAACAATTCCATTCTTCCTCCCCCTTGTGTTCCACACTAGTAAAGATCCCCTTGGCCATGAAACAGTGATTTCCTCCTATCTCCTTCCATGGAATATTCCACCCCTTATTTGTTTCATACTAGTAACCTTGGGAGCATTTTCCCACTGCCTATTCCCCCTGTTTCTATGGATAAATATATTTTCTCTTGTTTCATGCTCTCATAGAATGTTCCATTTATCTTCCAACCACAAGCTGGCCACTCCCCAGAATTTTGTATATAAGGAGCTTTGTTTTTCCTCTTCATTTTTTCCTCATCAGATACTGCCCCAGCAATCCAGATAACTGATCACCCACTATTAGCCAGGTATTTGCCCATCAACATTTGGGATACCTTGATGTGTGAACAAGTATATTTATACTAGTAAACATAAGAAACATTAGACATACCATCCTCAAGAAATCTCCAAAGCCACACCTTTCCTTAAGAGTCCATACTCTTATATTTTCTTGTTATCAGAGAGGCAGCCCATTAAAGCATCCATCCCTCTCAAGCTCTATTCATCCCAAGAGTAGTTCCACACCAGAACCACCAGGGTTGGGACAGAGGTTTCAGCTTTGATTGGTAGACGAGAGACTCCTTTGTGACTCGCCTCGACGGTGGGATGATCTGCCAGATGTACGGGTGTGTTGTTTGCCTTAGCCAAATGCACAGAGGAAAGATCCGGCGTCATCGAGATTGAACATCCCAAATCTAGATTAGCATCTCCGGACAGGATGGACGGAAAGCCAACAGAAAAAGACACAGCCGCCTGTCCAGCTCTGATCTTGAGTTCGGAGCCTGAGAAATCCGACTCGTCATCGGATTGTTGGGTGTTGCAAATGAGAGGTGCAGCCAACGTGCAGCCTGCATTCTTGGCGACTGTGGATGGTTTGTTTGAGTGGTTAGCTCGCTTAACGCCCGGTCTCTTGGTCTTAGGCGGAGCCTGTTGGGATTTATGATCCTGAATAAGTCTTGCAACGTTGAAGCAGAGGTTGAGATCATGACCGTCCAGATTTCAGAAAGTACAGTGTCAAGGGGGTTGTCCGCTTTGCTTGGACTTCCCTTTAGATGAATCCTTTCCCAAAGCTAGAGAAGCATTCTCTACGACTAGTGGGTCGGTCAAGCAGGTCTTCCGTCAAAGGTGTTTGGCCTTTAAGGCGTCAATTACTCGCTCGGGGTTGACCCTCGGTTCATTCTTCATGGATGATACGCAGGACAACCAGTCCAAAGGAAGGGAAGTGAGAATAGAGGACAAATAGATATTGTTTGGGGTGAGAGGGGCCTCAGAGGTAACTAGCAAGCTAAGACGTTCAAACGTCTTCGCCATATCTTCCAGATGAGCCGGAAGATTTTTGTCCGTCATCCTGGATGAAGTAAGCTTGCGGAGCCAATAACACTACAAGCAATACCCATTTTGCCCCAACAATAAATGGCAATTTGGGTGGGGGAAAATGGATAAATTTTCTGGCACTTTTTTCCAAAATGCCTCAGGAGTAGAAATTGGGCTAAACTGAGCTATTTTAGCCCAGAGGTAGAAATTCATCAAACATTCCAAAATGTTTTTTTAGCTCATTTGAGACATTTTTATTTTTTGGCTAAAATAGCTCATTTTAGCCTAATTTTTTACTCCTGAGGCATCTTGTAAAAAAAGTGCCAGAAAATTGATCTATTTTCCACCATCCAAATTGCCATTTTTCCTTGGGGCAAAATCGGTATTGTTTGTAGTGTAAGTGACTCCCCCATCCGATGAATCCTGATGAGCGCACTTGAGTGCTTCCCAGAGACCTTGGGTGTTGTGCTTGAGATGGCGGACGTTGCGGAGATTAGTTGGATGGATAGTCTGGGAGATAATACCGCAAACTGCTTTGTTATTGCGGGCCCAATTGGCCTTAAGTTTAGCGTCCTCCGGCTTGTCGTTGATGAAATAGTCCACGTCCGTCGTGGTGAAGTGTATCTTGAGGATTCCAACTCCAATTGAGGTAGTTGGACTCCGATCCTGGCGGTTTCAGTTGTTCAACGCCAGTGAGTTTCAGAGTTGGGTGACTGGCCACCTTGGAGTCATTAGTTGATGACATTTGGGATAGTGACTGCTCATAGCCTGTTGGAATCAACTGGGTCAGAGTTTGAGGTTTGTGGAAGGATCAATGTATTTCATTAGTTCTGAGAGACAAACATCAAATATCAAAAAAGAAAAGAAAAGAAAAGAAAAGAAAAGAAAAGAAAAGAAAAGAAAAGAAAAGAAAAGAAAAGAAAAGAAAAGAAAAGAAAAGAAAAGAAAAGAAAAGAAAAGAAAAGAAAAGAAAAGAAAAGAAAAGAAAAGAAAAGAAAAGAAAAGAAAAGAAAAGAAAAGAAAAGAAAAGAAAAGAAAAGAAAAGAAAAGACACACACGCAGAAAGAAAAGAAAAGAAAAGAAAAGAAAAGAAAAGAAA